GGACTGGTCCGCTGAGGACGGACTGTCTGCGTACTGGTCCGGCATCGCACTTGGCCGGTGCGACCTCAAAGCGGACTAGTCCGCACGCCCGGGGGCACTAAAAGCGGACTAGTCCGGTGCACGACGGATCGAACGCGGACTGGTCCACAGGGGTGCGGACTCTTTCCGGACCGAAAACGGACTGATGCCGGACTAAACTTTTTCGTACGGGGACTTTAGAGAAACTAATTAGAGTCTGATCTTTGCTGAACTTTGCTGAAGCGTCAACGACAGGTATTTGTCAGCTGGCGCTCATGTTGTATGCATCTGATGTAAGACGGAATTTAGCTGAGATTGGCATTCGTGTGAAAATCAGGTGGGATCAGTGTTACGTCAATTAATCATAAATAACGTGGAGCTGAAGTTACCTGAAGCCGACGATGGCAGGTTCATTGCAGCCATCCATTGAACTGACGGATAGATGATTAGAGCGAACTAAGTCAGTTATGGCAGCCTACTTCATGCTGGATCAGTTGACTGGTAGTCAAATCAGTAATACTCAGGTAACTTCAGCTACCATCAGTTTTCTTTTTCTCCCGAGGTTTCTACTTCTTAAGATACTCTTTTGTTACGTATACTATGGTCACCTACTCGTCCCTACGAAGGCGACGAAGCCTTTTTCGGAATGAAGCCGCTAATCTTTAATTCGAAATTTCACCAATCAGTTTTTAAATTATAGAGTGCGAGACAAGACTTACTTCGTGTAACATGCCTTCTGCACTGCGACATCAAACACATCGTCAACAAAATAAGCCGTCCACTCTTTGCTCTAAGATTTAAATTACTTGCGATGCAGGTAGGAACTTGAAATTTGGCATGGTTTTCAATGAAAACACTCTGTAAAACATTTATTTGCAATTGAAAAGTATCACTCTGTAAATGCAAAGTAAATGCTTAGATCATTATTCTAGATTGTAACTGTCTAACTAGTCGATGTCGATTACGATTGCACACATTGTGAGGGTTGGAGTGTGTACAAAGCCCCTCTGTCTATCACACAGGGCCCTTCCGTGGCAACCAGTCTCGCAACGGATGCATTTGAAGTACACCACCTCTCCTTTTCTACAATTTTTATGGTAGTAAAATCCGTCATTTACATGGTAAAAATATGACCCACGTCTGTTTCCTTTTTGCCGCTTCAGCTGGTTGATGCACACCATGATTCCAAGGAACAGTAGGAGAGACTAACCTATGATGAAAACAAAAGAAACCGAAATCATTATGATTGGCTGGACGAGCAACATGCGCTGAAACTGCGTGTTTAAAATTCCCCAGTTCTTAAGACATAAATTTTAGTGAGTACCTGATCAATGTCACTAATGTCATACTGTAGCTTTGCAATTTCTGCCTCCTGGCTCATTATTTCCTCATTCATCTTGGAAACAGTATCCTCGTATTTAGACAATTTTTCTTTCAGGGAATCAAGTTTTAAACCCATCTCTTCAACTTTCCTCTTCAGAGGATTAACAAGTTGTATTTCTTCTTCTAGGACCTCAACCTTCTTTTTTATGTACGGCTTGATAGCACATTTCATAGATCCCCACAGAGTGTAAGCCTAGAATCCAAACACACACAATTACTTCAAAAATAATTCTTTTCTTAACTCGATAAGGTACAGGCTTCGGGAAAGAGAGAATGAACACAGCATACACTGCCCAGATTGTTGAATAACAAACATTAATTACAAGCATTGGAAATAATTTTTTTTAAATGACTATTTTATTTGAGTAGCTGACCTAACTCTGAGTGTTGCCCTTAATACAGAGGAACATCATTATGCCTACAGCACAATTGTAGCCCTGGCTGTCAGGATGACTTTAAAATAACGGTCCCTTAATACTCTGACATCCTATAGGACTACGCTTAATGCCATTGTGACAAAGATTTCACTGAAATGGGGAAAGCACAGAACGACATTGCGAACAGTTACAGAGGAGACCATTTTGACTTCATGCTGGCAGTTAGCGCTCAAATTTATCCCGGGGTGTCTGGATACAAGTAATACATTGGGACTGAGTGCAAGAATTGGAATTATTACTTCGCAAATAAGCCACAAAAAGTTAACACGTGAAAAAACGCAAGGCCTTGGGCGGCCTTAAAGTGGATGCAGCTTTATGGTATTTATATGCTTACTTTGCAAGTCAGCGTGTCTTCGACATACTGCTTCAGAAGTGAGAGAGCTGCATCATCACATGCAACAAAAATAACTAGTGGTATTCAGGTCTGCATTTTATGGGGTCAATATGCCAAAATAAGTTAATCGTATGATTAGAGATGTAATAAGTGAACTCATGTGACACAGAGTTTAAGAATTTTTAAGGCGGCGTATTTTGGCAGTAAAACCGACGCCTGTAAGAGAAGAGTGCCAAACACAAGTTGTCATGTCTCAGCCTAGTCGTAGCCAAAACGACGTTCAAGTCAACAATAATTATGCTACATACGGAAGATATTTCCATCACAACACAATTTTTCGAAGAAGTTTACAGGCATGGATGCTTTGTATTCGTAATAAAAGCCTAATAACCTGCAGTGCAAGTGACGGGACAAGAAGAATCGGACCACTTAGCTGCACGTTTTCTAACATTGATAAAAATATGTGCGCATATCATATTAATCATATTAAACTCACTTTCAAGACTATAGCTGTCCATGATAGTAGTCATTTCTAGACTGGATTACTGCAGTTCAAAGGATCCTTCGAACACTAACGACTACGGAGGAACAAGATGGCAACGGCGTGTCCCGCAGAGAATGCACGCAACGCATTTGTCAAGGTCTAGGCTTCATCAGCTTAAGCAGGAAGAAGTCGGGAAGCAGCAAGCAGCAGATAGTAAATACCGATAATTTCAAAGCTTTAATTTCAATTTCGTTATGAAATCTTATTTTTATCATTCAAATATTATTTTCTGAAATTAAAAAATATAAATATGCATACAAATCGTGTGTAAATCGGGAGATGCTGTTCGCTGTCGTGCTGTTCCGACAGCTCCGACAGCACCTCTCGATTTGACCTGATTTGATCACATATTTATGATTTTAAAGTTCCGAAAATAAATATGAGAGACCAACGAAAGATTTCATGCTGAAATATTGATGAAAATTGGTAAAACCGCCGGTATTTACTATCTGCTGTTTGCTGTCCGCTTCCCAACTGCTTCCCGCTTAAGCTGATGCAGCCCTTTTGACCACGCTGATTGCTGATTGGCTGGCTGCCGGATGCTTCCAGAATCCGCCGGTAGATTGCTCTCAAGGCTGAATGCGGAGGTAATGCCAAAGAACGGTTTACTTGAATAGTGTGGAAAATGCAAAATGGCATGTCTGTTCCGGAGGGTACTTAAAAAAAGTAAAATAGGATGGTCATACATAAACTATGACACCGAAGCTGTTAATCGAAGCTTTAACTTTAGAAAATTCTAGATGATCCGCAGCGCATGCGCGTTAAGCATCAGACAGGCAACAGAACATTTATGAAAGTCTCAATGCTTTTCTGTCAACTCTCGGTACAAAATATGTTGAGAAATATACTTACTGTTATCTTCTGCTGGTTGCAGACCCAC